GTGTGGTCGTCCCTCGCTCTGCCTGTCTGACTGTTTCTGTCTCGCTGTTCAAAGCCCTCTCCTCTTGTACTCTTTCCATTTTGTTCTCCATCGCCCTCAAGGCAAATTCTTAGAGTCAGTGGGCGTGAGTAACTCGAGACAATAAAAATATCCGATACAATGCATTCAAACCTAAGACTCGCAGATCCATGCTCATAAGGCATGTGTGTGGAAATGTGTCGAAACACGTTACTGGTGCTTAGATAGATAGATACATAAATCGATATATACTTAATTTATCCTAAGGAAATTGTTTTGCCACAGCAGCATTTTGCAGTCAATGTACAAGAAGAACAAAATGTTTTAAAAATAGAATAAAATACAAACAAAATCAAATAAACATTGAAGGTGGGGTAGGTAATTTTGGAGAAACCAGCTCGAGTGCGGTAGAATTTGAAAACACACAGCCGGAAAAAATCTGCCACTTCCTTACAGAGCCCCTCCTCCAACACACACGAACGCGCACATGACCAATGAGGGCACGAGATAAGTTTGTGCACAGATGGAAGGCTGACAGGCAGGTAGGCCATCCAGTTACTTTAGCCGGGCCGGCTCAGATGATTGGTCGTGCTTTTTACAGCGCTACGGCTTCCACAGATGACATTTTTTTATGGATTTTTTGTCAAAGCACTTCAGATATTCATTGCTATCGGGATGTTAAGAGCATTCCATGGAATATAACAAAAAGTGTATCTCGAGCCGGTTTCTCAAACGTACCTACCCCACCTTTAACAATTAAAACAATACATATTCTCAGTGGAAAATACATATATTTAGAAGAGTATCTAGACATAGAATCAATTATACTCTCTAATATACAAATCTACCAAAGGGACAGAACCATATAAACATAGTACTATAAAAACTAATTGAATAAGAATAACGCATTATCGTATCTTAAAAGCAAGTACACACATGACCAAGCACACAGGGCTCAGCTGAATCGTGCCTTTAACATCTTGACCCAAATGGTCTTTGGGTGCCGCGAGCCAAACACAGCGATAGAGAGGTCTGGATGCGTGTACATTAATCGGAGACAAAGGAGCACTTCCCTTCAGGCCGGAACTACTTTCATCTGGTCCCCGTAACACTTTATCATATTATACGACATCCTGCGTCCTATACGACCCGACACCCAGCCATACCTCAGCACCTGACATCCAACAGGGCAATTCTTCACGCCTACATTCAAACCAAACTGCCTTTTCCATCCGGTTATTGAGAGCTGTGTTCTCTCTTGTTAACGGAGAGGGAGATACTGTATACCCTTCAGCCTGACACGCATGTTTATATTTCCCCCAAGGCCATGTAAAGATCGGGATAAGCAGATTTTCAGATCGTGGAAAAAGAGTTCGACTCAGGAAAAAAGCCCCTTATGAAGTCATTGGAAAGCTTATTATCCTCAAAAATACAAATCTGTCAGTACAATAGGAATTATCTAACTGTGTCTCCGAAAAGTGTCAGCTTGATTGTTTCATGTATTTTTCTAAAATACCTTATGAAGAAAGGAAAAGTAAGACATTTAAGGAATTTGCTTATTTGATTTCTGGCTGACAGTTAGATGACAAGATTGTTGTTCTGG